GAGAAAATTAAATAATCGAATGAAATGGAAAACATCCCAGGATAGCGGATGAAGTGATAAAGTAAGAAAAGTAAATCCTCTCGCGATGATAACGTTAATCTATTAAATAAAAAAAAATACACGAAAAACACCCCAGGATAGCGGATGAAGTGATAAAGTAAGAAAAAAAATCCCCTCGCGGTTTTCGCGAATGCGCAGTCGGACCTGCGGGGCGGAATCGCCGCGCACCTTCCGGGCCTACGAGAGGCGGGTTTGTCGAGCTTATTAAGCTCGTTAAAGGACCCCCCGGCCCCGATTTCCGCGGCATTATGTTTCCATCCCCTTGGCTCGGGGGGTTAATGAAGCCCGCGACCATGCAGCGGGCGTCGCGATAAAGGGGGTTAAGAAAAGCGCTTTTCTCGCCGATTTCGGATTCTTACGGCGAGAGAGAGAAGCGTTGGAACGCTCCCAAAGATGCGAAAAAACGGGATAATTGCGGAGGTCCCGGGGGAAGCCAAGCCGAGGAGTCGGCATTTCCGAAAAACCCCCACACCCTTGCGCGAGAAAATCCGGGATTTTTTTATCACCTCTCAGGGTGATAAGGTATCGTCGCCTCCTCTTATCAGGGCATTCGTCCCACCGACATCGAGATCGTCGCCACCCTCGACGGTGGAAGAAAAAAAAAAAAGAAGCACCTCGGAGCAGACAGTCGGAATTAAAAGAGACCAGGCGAGAGAACGGGAAGCGAAGTCCACGTCCACCTCGGTAGTCCCCTCGATATATCGAAATTGGTACCTAGGACACGGGCCATTATCGTATGTAAATACTGGAGGGGGAGGGAAAGTAGCCTAGCGGTAATAAGGAGAGAGACCTGGGAGGGTCTCACGCGGCGCAGGAATGTGAGCGAGCGCGGCCGGGCGAGGGAGTCAATCGGAACGCGGGACGCGGGCGAGCGAGCGAGGCCGCCGTGCCGCGAGGAGGGAAACGAGCGAGGGAGAGAGAGGCCCCGATACGCGGGTAGCGGGAGAGAGAAGGACAGAGGGAGAGCGCCGGGGATAGGGGCGAAGGCGGCGGCGGCGCGGCGCGGCGACCGGCGAGGCAGCGACCATCCTCCAGTCGGCCGGCCGGTGCCCCTCGCGAGAGCGAGAGAGAGAGGTGGACCGGCAGACACGGGGGAGCGAGGGAGACAGAGATACCCCCATGATCCACGCGGGCATTCGTTCTGCCTCGTATGCGCCGGGCCGGCAGCAGCCGAGAGCGCGGTGTCGCCAGAGAGAACGGGAACGAAGTTTCCGAACCGGGCGCGATGACTCCGGCGCATCCAGCCGCATCCCGGGGCATCTCCTCGTGGGAGAGGGTCCCGCGACGTGATTCCCCGGGTATCGAAATCGAGGAATCGGACGCGACGTATATTTTCCGAAACGGGGGGAAGGAAAAGGGAAATTCCCCCCGGCCCTCTCGATCGATCTCGGATTGTCCGCGGCGCGTCCGGGAGAGGATAAGAGCCGAATAGCGGAAGATGAAGAGAGAGAAAGAAAAATGAGGGAAGCAGGAAGGAAGAGGAGGGCAAAAGGCAGAGTGCACCGACGAAGTCCAAGTTGAGCTTTTGGTCGAAATAGGTATATGTTACGGTGAAACACCGAAATCTGGAGAATGTCGACTTTCACCGGTGAAAGTCGACATTCTCCAATTTCGGTCATCCACCGTAACATATACACAAAATCGTGGTAGAAATAGTGTTACAAAAAAAAAGGGGGGAGTTCCACCCTCCACCGTGGAAACAATTTCTCTGGGCAAGAGAGGTCCAAGGCGGTCCCTTAACCTATGCAAACGAGATTCAAATGTATGCGCCGTGTTTCGCAAAGCCCGGCCGGGGCTACATAAGGGGCAGGTACAGGTCCTTACGCGATTTCCCGTGATTTCAGGGGCCCCCCTGTCTAGAGACCCGTCCCGGGCTAACTTATCACCGAGGATCGCGACAATCGCGGGGTTATATGTGCCCATAATCATGAAAGTGGTCTAAGTCATATATTTTTTCTTTCGAAATTACATTGAATTAATTTCGTTTGAAATAACATGGCGTGAAATAACTGATAAACTCATTTTTTTTTTTTAATTTTGACTTAGACCACTTTCATGATTATGGGCACATATGAGCCCATAATTATGAAAGTGGTCTAAGTCATGTATTTTTTGTTTCGAAATTACATTCAATTAATTTCGTTTGAAATAACATGGCGTGAAATAACTGATAAACTGATTTTTTTTTAATTATGAAAGTGGTCTAAGTCATATATTTTTTGTTTCGAAATTACATTGAATTAATTTCGTTTGAAATAACATGGCGTGAAATAACTGATAAACTGATATTTTTTTTTAATTTTGACTTAGACCACATTCATAATTATGGGCACATATCAGCACGGCGCCCCCGCCCCCGCCCATGATCCGCGACCCGGTGAATTTCTCCGCCTTGAATTTTTCTTCCCGAGGAAAAATCCTTCAGGTCGAAAGAAAGAAAGGAAAAAAAAAAGAAACGACGCGACGGAATGGCCGGCCGGATATCTCATTCGGCGCCCTTGATATTTCATGGCACCGCGCTAGCGGCCCCTCCGCGGCGGAACGCCCGGTGGCAAGGAGCGGCGCGCGGCTCGACCGGGGCCCATATCGATTGAACATCCATTCAAATATTTAAACGCTATTACCGTCCCGACCCGGCTCGCGCGGGGGTTCCGCGTTGTCTGGTCCGCGCGTTCGCCCCCTTGTCTTCCGCGTCCCTCGAGCGAGGTAAAAGGTAAGAAAGTGGAAAAAAAAAAAAATATAACAAAAGGGACTAATACGCATTCTAACGACAAACCACGTGTTCATAACTAGCGACTTTGCAAGAGACCTGCGACGGAAAAGATAAGTTTCATTGAGAAAAAAAAAATTGACCATTGAAAAGAGGGAAAAAAAATTATTAAATTCCCTCGTTCGGAATTAATAAAATGACGATCCCCCCCCATCTGTTAATCGGCGTCGGCCGATTTTCCGTCTCTCGGCTCGCGAACGAATAAACCGGCGCGATTGTATCGCGGGATCCCGTAATTGGCTGCGTAGTCCTACGCGCGGAATGTTGATTGGCGAGATAGTCGACGGCGGCGGCGTCGGCGTCGTCGTCGGCGGCGCCGAACAAATCGGACCTTCCGCGCGGCCCGGATTAAAACCAATAAATACCGAGGGCGCGGGCCCAAGAGTGAGAGCGAGCGAGACCGACCGATGGGTAAGCCCATGCGCGCGAGAGAGACGGAGCGAGGGAATGCCGGGGAGAAAAAAATGGAGAAAAAGCGAGAGAAGGAAATTTTGTAAATCCGGCAAAACGCGGGACACCCCTTCCCCCGTATTCGGCGTCGGCGAGAGCGTCCCGTCGTCGAGGGGCGGAACGCCTCCGTTGCGGAAACCGCAGGTCGGCGGGAGATATATCCCGGAACGAGGGGGGAAGAAAAGGGGAATGATCGACCGGACCACCGGTCTCTGGGAGAAACGAGGCCTTTCGCGATCGAGGGTACCCCCCCCCCCCCTCCTATTTTTCCTCCGCACGCGGAACGCTAGCGTGCGTGCGTGACCCGCGTGCGTGCTCGCGAGTAACCCCGAGGAGAGTTCTCGTGCGCGGCGCGGACGTCCCCGCGTGGGCGTTACCTTATTTACGGTTATGCGGGAATTTATTTATTCCGCCGTGCGGAATTGCGCCCGGAATCCGCGGTTAGCGCGGTGGGAACCGACGAAAGGGAAGTCAATGGACGTCGGCGGATTTTTCTTATCCAGCCGGTCGCGATATCGGCGAAAATGCGAAAATGTGAAAATTCGAAAAATGTGAAAATGCGAAAATGTGAAAAATGTGAAAATGCGAAAATGCGAAAATGTGAAAATGCGAAAATGTGAAAATGCGAAAATGTGAAAATGCGAAAATGCGAAAATGTGAAAATGCGAAAATGTGAAAATTCGAAAATCACGAAAACCGCAACAATCTAAAAATCGCGAAGTCGTAGCACCTCCCGCGACAATATATATATAAAAAAAAAAATTCTCGCGCCTATATATTTTTTCAAGATTTGCTAGTGCCCCGTTTCCCTTTAAAGTAACCCCCGGGTGATAATCACTGCGCCCTCGTTATCACCGTACCCGGGCAACGAGTGAATTTCGGTTTCATCCCCCGTAATTGGCGGAGAGCCCCCGTCGGCGGATGGAGTATCAACGTCACTTTCGGCGCCGCGTAACCTCCCCGCAATGCCGGAATAATTCCGCACGCGGACGTATCGAGGAATTTACGTGAAACGCGGGTCTTAAAAAATCGCGACCCCTCGATTCTAACGTCTCGCCTGACCGCCGCAGAACTTGCAGTCCCAGGATTTAAATCTTTATTCGCCTTCTTAAAATTAATCGCCACGAAAATCGCCTTCTTAAAATTAATCGCTATGAAAATCGCATTCCTAAAATTATTCGCCATGAGAATCGCATTCCTAAAATTATTCGCCATGAGAATCGCTCTCCTAAATTTAATCGCAACGAAAATCGCCGTCCGAAAATTAATCGGCACGCAAAATCCCCATCCCGAAACGTAATCATCCGACTTTAAGGATAACTCCGAAATAGCTCCCACTTAAAGAAAAAGTCCGCGAAATAAAACCCGTTTCGAGCACCTTGCCCGGTTTTCGATGGGCCATAAATCACGGGTCGCTCTTTTTTGCCGGGCTCGTTCGAGGGTTTCCAGGAATCGCGCGGCCGGGCTCGCCTAATCCCCCGACCAAAACAAAAGTTGCCCTTTCGAAGACCCTAGACCACTCCCGAGGCCATTCCACCCGATGAATAAAGTTAAATAAAATATTTCACCCCGCTTTAAAGGCCATCTTAATTCGGAATATATATATTTATATATATTTCCATATACCCATTAATATGTTTAATATTCGGAGTTAACTCGATATAAAAAATCGGGCCGATTAATCGTTCGAGATTTTCGATAACGACGTAAAATCGCTCACCGGAGTCGTGTACGGTTGGCAGGCGAGTCGGATGCCGTCGTGGCGCAGCTTCTCCTGGATGAGCATCCTGAGCTGCATCCTGGGTATGCGGACGAGCTCGGCCTTGCCCTCCTCGTACTCGTCGGCGAACTTTGTGAGTTCCTGGCCCCCGCTGGAGGAGCTGGCGGTGGGGGAGGCCCGCTGGGCCTCCTTGTCGCTCGGCGGCCTCTCGGAGGAGGTCCTGGAGGACTTGGAGCTGACGTTGTCGCAGAGGCACTCGTTGGTCTCCTCCAGGGTGAAATAGACGCTGGCCGCGCCCTCCTCGCGGAGGGTCTTCACCGACTGCAGCAGCCTGGCCCGGTGGGTCTGGTTGAAGACGCCGATGGCGTCGAGGTCGGGGTCGCCGATCTGCTTGCAGATCTCCAGGTCGTCGTACCCGTTGTCGATGAAGGACTCCGAGTACTGGCCCAGGTGGAGGGAGCGGAGCCACTCGACGACGATGTTGCTGGCCATGGTCATGGCTCCGGGTGCACTTGGCTCACGGAACAGCCGGGGGCATCACCCCCGACCTTGCACTTGCACTCGCGGGGGGAACGGCGGGGACCTGTTTGGCGTCGGATGGAGCGCGGACGCGGCACTGACGGCGCTCGACTTCACGGGTCGGCGTCGGCGCGGACCCGGCGACCGTTACCCGGCATTCCTCGCGAGCGGACTCCGGGACGAGGTACTCCCGGCGAGTCTCGGGAGAGACTAGCGGGTCGCGGGGGCGCGCGTGGCGAGCGGAGGCGACCGGCACCGCATCCCGGGACGAGCTCTGCGAAACGACGCTACCGCGACGCGGTCGACGGCGAGACTGACGCGCTGCGGCGCGGAGAGGGAGCCACCGCCGCGCGACCCCCTCCACTCCGCTGCTTCCGACCGCCGCCGCGAGAGGCGCTGCCCCTACCGGCGCGCGCCGACCACTCTCGATACCGCTACTTGAGAGTTTAAATTCACTTCGGATTATTTTACGATGCCGGGGGATACTCGCGCCTGGGATTATTTAAGATTATTTAGGAACACTGGGGGATACTTTAGGACACTTCCGCGGAGTTTTTAGGTCAAGACGTTAAGTGAATAGGAATTTTTTAGTCGAGGTGGTCGGCCGACGCGGCGGTTACGCGGATCGAGACTTTCACAATGGCGGCCGGGTGGCAGTTTTTCGAAGTTTGGGAAGATGTCGCGGTTCAAAGTGGCGTCGATTTGAACGTCGATATTTTTACCAGATGAGAGAATTACCGGCGGGAATGACGTTAAAAATCCCTGGGATATTAATCCGATCGATTTCAGTGCTCGGGGTATTTACAGAGCGGTTTTAAGTAGACATGTAAGTGGCGGTGTTTAATTGACTAGCGGAGTAGCGGAGCGCCGCCATGTTGGATCCGGGAGCCGCCATCTTGCCGTTTAGAATCTGGCATCACTTATTTCGGTGAGTTTTTTACGGAAAATCGGCTCGAGAGCAATAGATAAATCCCCGAGATGATGAAATCCATCCCTGGCGATGAATTATACCGACTCGCCGGGTTCCGAGCGAAGGTTCGCGCGGAAATGCGACGGCGGTGAAAGCCGCGGGTCAACGGTCGACTTAAACAACGGCGTCGTAAACGTAACGACGAGCCGCGGCTTCCGCGGTTATTTTCTATCAGGCTCGTCGTGACCGGCTCTTTTAAACTCCCCGGTAATGAAGATTTGCCCCAACGACTCCGGCGGAGTCTAATATGCCGCGTTATTCTCGTTACGATCATCGAGCACTTCGGGAAGAAACGAGTTATTCGAGCCGCGACTCGTCGAATGAGAATTACCGGCATGGCGCATTAGTGGCGATTTTATCGCTCCAGAATTCGCCGGGTGGCGCACATAAATGGTTTTCGTTTACCTACGCCCTTTTCGAGTCGCGAAATGCCGTTTGCGTAACGCCGGTCGGACAACCGCGGTCAGATAAATCAGACAAGTGCGACCACAGATATATAATTTTAGACCGACTCGATTCCCCGCGTTTTCCACTCGTCGCCTGATATCGATTCGCAAGTGCCCGAATTCCCGTCGATATATCTCCCATTAATTACAGGGGCTAAAAAGAACCCGAGGAAAAAATTCACCTCAATTAATTCCATCTAGGTCGAGGATTTATGCAAGTGTTGTACTCCAATAAATCGTCTCTCAGGGTATCATTTTAATATTTTTTCTTTCCCCCAGGCAAGCCGCACAGAGCTGGAGGATTAATCTTCTCCGGATGCTGCAAGGACACCACTCGCCACATTGTCGAATTCATGGATCGCGGAAAAAGGATCGATAACTCATCGACGCTGATCAACGATCGGTATGTGTAGGGTCTATGGATCCAGGCACTGATTCACTCGAAAGCGACGAGGAACGAGCAGGATGCAGCTGGAGGACCAAAAGGGTCCTCGGTGTCCAGGACACGCCGCGTCATATCGCGTTATCAAGAGCTACTCGTCACTCCACCCACCTCTCGCGATTCGCCGTTCGATTAATTCGCGACTCGCGAAAGCGGTTTCAAAGCCGCGTTTTACGCGTCCCCGCGGGTTGCGATCGCTGATAACGTCCGCGGTATCACCCGACGTATTCCTGATAGGTTTTCCGCACGCAATTGCCGACTGTCGCGGGATTTCCGTAAATTCCGAGCCGCGGAAATCGCCTGGAAAACGCACAGGAATCGGCGAGCCGTGACAACGGCAATTATTTACCGTCTGCGAATATAAGGATAATTTTTATCTATGTGCGCTATTTTAAGTTCTGATGATTAAGCCGAATTACGGCTGGATTTACTCCGATAAGATAATCATTTCTGCTGGCGAAAATTCTTACTTTTTTCCTCGGTGGTATATTTATTCGCTAATAAGCGTGTCCATTAAAAAATTTCACGTTATCGAGAATATGTCAGCGTCACTTTGAGGGAGTCGAAATTTGAAAGCATATCGCATGACGCGACTGTTTAATGGCTGATACTCGTCAGGAATGTCATCGGCGTATCACCACGTGTAGATAACCGAAAGTTAATGATAACACAAGAGGAAGTATATTTTTCTTTAATATCAAAAACGTCACTCGTTAGGATAGGGTATTACCGAGGACAGACTATAATTATGCGCAGAAGAAATTTAATATGGCAAGGAGACTTTCGAGACATTTTAAGAGAATGTCAGGAAGCTATAGAAAAAATATATCTCGAAGATGGCCGAAGTCGGGAAACTCGATCAAAGCCTCTCAAATTCCATTTCCATTTATATTTCCACGTCTTCGGTGGACAGACCAGCATCCTTATTGCCTCGGAGAAATTTAAAACTACTCGAGGCTGTCACAGAAACGTCGAATCGTCCGCAGAATTTCGATAACAGTTGCCGACAGTTCCCTCGAAGCACGCACGTACCGTGCCACGTACGTTTAAAAGGAACAAAACGAGCCCACGGCCAGTGCATCGCCGTCAAAGTGCATTCGTCAACTTGCACTCAGGTGCAGGAACCAAATGACACATCTCCTCTTCCCCAACTATAAGCTGCCACCGTGATGACGGCGACCCTGACGAGTTTCGACATCCTTGAATCAGCTGATCCATGGATTCACCTGCATTCCGATACGTGAAATTCCACGGCAAAGTCATCACCCTGGAGAGAATGCAGGTATTACCTCCTTGCATTTCGACGTACAATTAGCGAATATCAAGCACGACCTGCAGGTGCGACACGGTATATCAGAGTTCGGTGTCGCGTCTTTTATTCCTCTTCTTTTGGAAGTCGGCGTCGCGTCACCCCGGAAGTGCATATTCGCCGATTGTAAGCTCGCGAGAGTCTCTTGGAATTGCTTAATTAACCTATCCTTGCATTGCTTTCAGAGTGCAGGGAGTGCAGGTGGTCGCGGGGGTCGTGCAGCAGACGAAGCCCCAGGGCGGAGCGTTCGCTTATGGCTGCTCTAAAAGGAGATGCACGAGGACGCGCCTCTTTTTTGCCCCGTTACCCTTGGCCGTGTGTAACGGAGGTAATTCGTGCGCCTCGAAAATGCTTTCAGAGCCTCTTTTAAAAGGCTGGCTTTCCGTGTCTCGTATCCTCTCTCGTGCGTTTTGCTCTCTGTCTGCCTCAAGTAGCTATGCGCGACAACGAAGTGGCCAGGGCGAAAAATTGCCACCGCGTCCAGAGTCGTCCCCGATTCAGCCATTCCAGAAATCGAACCGCTAACGAACTACGATAATTACCGCACCACGGAATACCGAAGACGGACTAGAAATAATCGCGGAAAATGTCGTTCTGCCTGGAATGACTCGTAGCAGCGCGAAGGCGCCTAGAAAATCGACGGCGAATTTTTCAGCATTTTTTTCGGTCGACCCGATGCACCCATCAGTGCATCTGGTTTACTGCGCGCGAAACCTGCGTTGTTTCCATCGCTTTAAACCCAGGATTAGCGGGGGCATTAAAATTCCGGGATTAGAGAGGAGCTTGCAAGCTCGCCCTGCGGAAATCGCCAAGATTCGCGGCATTAGAGGCGTAACGACGTTCAGGTCTTACTAATTGGCTTTCTAGCTCTATTCTCCTCTTTCTCAATTTAAAACCTCTTTGCAATAAATTCAAGCCGCCGGAAAACGGGCTCGGTAGAAAATAACTAATGACTTTTTATTCTTTAATTTCAGGTGCTGCAGGGTTATTTACATATTTAATACCTGGGATTCTGGAGTGTGTAGTGCAGACTCGTAATGGCCATTTACACGTCAGGGTAAGGATACTAAAGTGCATCTCGCTCTCGTGATCGTGGATCCCTCGAAACCCGCGAATCTCGCGGAAGGACGTAAACGTGAAGCCTCCTCGTGGCGGGGTTTAATCTTGTCACCGCGCGAGTCGTATTTCCGAGTCGACGAGGGTGCAGACGTCGTCGTTTACGGGCCGCTTTAGCGTTTCAAAACAACCGATAAAATGCGAGGAGCGGGCGTAAGCGTTTATGCGAAGCCTGGAGCAGGGCAACCGAAATTGCACGAGCGACCTCGGCCAATCGTCGCCGGGAGTGCAGCCTCTTCTCCTGGGAGCAGGAGATCCTCTCCGGGTCCAGGTCTCTCGGTTGATGGGGAACGAATCGAGAATACGACCGCAGGAACGGTCTTAATTCCTCCCAAGATGTCGAATGCAACCTCGAGGTGCACCTCTACTCCAGCCCTTGAAGAAGACCAACGATATCGCTCGATTGACCGACCTAGTCGCCGGTTTTTATATTTTTTCACCAGGTGTCTTGTTTCTTTTAAGGTGGATTCTTAATTTGGAGGCATCCTGGTGCACTTGCACGTCCTCTGGAGAGATCGCTCGGCGACTAGACCGATCGTAAAGGACGGGTCGTGCCCTGACATAAAACTCGAGGAGCTCCTCGCTTAAACGAGGGGGCGACGCGCCTATGCGGTAAAAAGACACGCTCGCGCGAATAATAAACATCGCTAGCGCATATATCGGCGCGTTAACTGCCGATATAAAATGGAAAGAAATATACGCCGGTCGCCGCGCTCGCCGCAATTAATATGCCAGGCTCCGCGCTGTTCCCGGATGATTCACGGCGCGTCGTTTTCATTTCGCGTCATTAACGGGACGCAGGCGACATTTCCCTCGGAAAGCCGCTTTTTCCGCGCTTTTCCCCGGAATCGCCGCTTTTTGCTACGTTAGGCCGGATTCGCGAACTAACCGGATGGCGGATGACGGGACGGTGAGAATTAAAGGGACGAGTCCATCTAAAAAATTATCTGTCAAAACTTTCAATGGCTATTTATTTAACCCCTACTTTGGCAATTTTATTATGCATCAGAAAAATTTCTCTAGGCGTAGATTCGAGACTTTTGACAAACCGTGATTCGACAACCGAGGTCGATTTCCCGAAAGGCCAAGTTTCGCCCTCTTACCGGCAATCGATACTCCTGGCGCGCTCGGGAATTTCTCCCCTGGCCGGGGGAATAAATTTAACGTTATTTCACCGCGGAGGGCATTATTTCCCGATGCAGGGGTGTAAAAATCGAGCCTGAGACGAGGCTGCTGCGAGTGCTTGTTCCCGAGCTCTCGGTATCGCTCCACAAATTGACTCTCTCGAAGAAACGCCTTTTATTTAAATCGCAGCAATTTTTTACCCTCCTACCAGACGGCTAGATCGATACACCTTAATTCCATTCCTTGCTCTATAGCTGTATCTCAAATAATGCCCTTCTTCATTTCACGTAGTAAATGATAATAATTTTTCTTTCTATTTTTTTTCAGCGCTCCTCGTATTTTCTACATTACCTGCGCTAGAAATTCCCTAGCATCCTCCGTAGTGTAAGTCCATTATGCGTCGTTACGAGAGTCTCTGTTTGAGCGCGTTGCATCAGTAACGATGCCAAGAGTGTCGAGTAAACTTTAGTAGTCTCACGTGTACGGTGGATACCGCGTCGGAGTGGAATGGCTCGGTGTACTTGCAGTACTAACTGTTGCAGCTCGCAATTGTTCAACAGCCTGCACGGCGCGGAATCCACTACGGCCACTTGGCGGTACACATGTTCAAAATAAGCCCTCAAGGCGCTTCGATCAATTTTATAAGGCCCTTCTAATCGATGCCTAAGATGAAACTTCAAACGGCTTCGGGAAAAAATTCAATCACTAGCTTGAGGCCCTTCATTTTAATCTCAGCGCGGCACGTAGTAAATTCTTTCGCAGGGTTTATTTCATATTGAATTACGGATTGAATTACGGTAATTGCACCGATCATACCGTTTCCAAGCTCTCGGGAACTGCACGTGAGACGAAGAGACCGCGGAACTCTCTTAACCTCGGATTAACGCCGGGATTAAGGGTTGGAGGGAACTGAAAATTAGATATTGGACTAATGTCGAAATTTTTATGATTTTTAGATGTCGGAGCGAATGGGAGGATCTCAAGGGGGTCCGAGATTCGGGGAGGAAGATGCCGGGGAATTCTCACCCTCTTCAGGTACTCGATCCCATTAATCCGCTGGTTGTTCCCACTTATTGCGCCGCTTGAAAGTCGACCATGCTCCCCGGAATCCGCGTAATTAAGCGGCCGCCTTAGGAATAAATTTACACGACTTGTAAATCCTTCGGCGGGGATTAATGCCTCGCAATTAGCCGGTCCGTTTTCCCGAAAATGAAACCCACCCTCGAAGCGGCGTGTCCGACATTGCGAGATCACTCGGCAGAGCTTCCGGGTGAAGAACTCTTTCTGACAAAACTCATTAACCTTACGAGGCATGATTTAGGAATAACTCCGGCCATGAAACGTACCGTGATACATATTTTAGTTATACGACCATTCCCTAAACCCGAAACTTTTTACGAGGGTCCCAACGGTAGTCATATAAACTTCTCAAAGTTGGACCCCTGTGATTAGGAACGGAAAGTCCAGGGTTTGTTTCGACGAGTTGAAAGTACCATGAAAAGATGAAATAAATTCCTGCACTTTCCTATCGAACCAAAGAGTTCATCGAGGTGAAGGGAATAATTGTTCCTTAGGTCAAGGAAATATTTCTTTGGCTCGAGGGAATTTTTCCCTCGGGGTAGGAGGGTATTTCTCGGGGATCTCGGGATGAATCCTTGTCAACCGTTCCAGGGTAGCGTCGCGACGCCGGCCGGAGGGCACGTCTCTCACTCTGGAGCTCGATCACTCGACCTTAGGTTAACGACACCGTAACCCCCGTGGGGGTGCAGGAATGCGGCCCCTCATTTCTGGTCAGGGTGTAAAGGAAGAACAAATCGCGTGCGCCAGGAAAAGCTCGAGTTAATTCCGAGGGTTGGAGAAACTCGTAAAAGAGTGCGTGACCGTCGAGCTTGCAGGGGAGAGGGAGAGCGAGTGGGTGGTGGGTGGTGGGTGGTTCGTCTCCCTCTCGGAGGGAACCCTTCGCCAACGACGACAGGGTCGACGACGTACCCCTTTGTACGCAGAAAAAATCTCACCGAACTGAAGAAATATCTCTTCGGTTGAATGAAATCCTTTTTTGTAGTGCGTTTCGGAGATGGCAACCGAAAAAGTACAAGAAAATCGGAAACGGCCGATTCTCTCTCTCTCTGTCCTTCTTCCTCGCGTGGCGTTCGCATCTCTCCCTCTCACTCTGACTCTCTCTCCTGGAGCCACCACTTAAGCGAAACTGAATTAAAACTTTTAACTCGCGCTGCCTTCCCGGCTTCCGGCTCACCAATAAAGCAGAAAGTAGGGTAGAGCGAAACAATATTTCACCGTGGCTATTTAACTTTTCCAAAATCTTACGAGCGTACGTGCACGCCGCCTGGGGCGGCGATAAAAGCCGCGCCGGAACGGCCGCGACGAACGGGGAATAACGTACGCGTCGCGACGCCTCGCGCCGATTGGTCCATGGATTGTTTCGACCACTTTGTCGTAGACCCTTTGTGCGCCAAAGTCGAACCGGAAAGACTGATCCTTCGAGTGACGCCATTTTATACTTTGTTCGCCGTGGAAAAATGTCCTTTTTCTTTTCTGCACGGTTAAAAAATTGTAATAAATTCAGGAGGCATTTTTAGAACGTTCGGGTACCGTCGAGTGAGAATAATTCGACGAGAGGCCGGTTTTTGATCGGATTGGATTGCCCGAAATTTGGCCGATTTCTAGAATTCCCGGCATTCACTAAAACCGGCATCCGATGACCCCGGAGAACCTCTACCTTCGCTTTCTTTTCCTGCTCGACTTTAAGAAAGTGGCGCGTGGACGTTCTTTTCCTTTTTGCGTGCCAGGAACAGGATTAAAATATCTACTCGGATAAAAACGTCGGCTACGTGGTTAAATGCGGGATAATTTGTACATTGCTGCGAATTTAGCAATTTGGAGATAACCATGATGTGTTAATCGTTGAATGCAAATTTCCCATTAACGAGGTTCTCGTTAAAATTCAACGTTGACCCTGTATTCCGAATTTCTTAACGATAGGTAGGAGGAGAACTAGCGAGGGATAATTAAGAAACTAATAAATTTAATTAAAACTGACCATGTACAAAATAGACCTATAGAATGCAAGTTGACTTTTGGTTATTGGCTTAATCGTTCCATTTCTTCGAAGGTACGGGATAAGAATATCCGTCGTCATGGCCGCCTCCAAGGGAGGAACCGTCAAAGGAACCGGCAAAAGAATCCAGATTCCCAGATCCAACAAACGCCCCATGTCCACCGAAGTCGTGTCCACCCAAACCATGTCCACCGAAGTCGTGTCCACTCAAACCATGTCCACCCAAACCATGTCCACCAAGAGATCCGGCCGCAAGGGAACCGCCATACCCATCGAAACCGCCGTTCCCGAAAGAAATTCCGTTTCCACCAAAGGAACCACTGGATGGTCCAAACCCGGTCTCAATGGGTCCAGCAGCAACGTGACCGATGGGTTGGACGAAACTCTGGACAGGAACCGCCACGGGGACGGGGTGCGGAACGCGTACCTCCACTGGATGCGGAACGGGAACTGGCACGGGACGATCCACGGGGACGGGGTACGTCTTCGTCACTTCCACGGGGACCGGGTGCGGAACTGGAACCGGAACGGGTCGCCTCACCTCCACTGGGACCGGGTGCGGAACCGCAACGGGGACATTCTTCACAACCGGGTACGGCTGCGGCACGGAAACCGGCACCTTGACGAACTTGCTGACGACGGTGCTGGGGACGTTGTGCGTGCTGACGGAATGCCCCAAACCGTGTCCAAGACCGAGAGCCGAGCCATAGCCGATTCCGGAATCGTAGCCGGAGGAAATTCCGGAGCCGATTCCGCTGGCAAAGCTGGAAAGACCGAGACTATGTCCCGCGTATCCTCCGCCGTATCCTCCTCCGATTCCCCCGGAGATGATCCCACGTTTTTCATGGACCTTCGACGTCTTCGCGTCACCGGCGAATGCGGAAGCGGCCAATACGCATATCTGAAATTGCACGTAAGGATTTCTTATAGAGATTATACTTTTTTTATGCATTGTTTCTAGAGCACCTAGGTTTGTATCGATTATCCTATTGTTATTTCAGAGTTTGGAGGAGTGCTTTTCGATGGCGAAGAGGTTGGCGGTACTTACTAGGAAGGTCCTCATGGTGAGGTATGCTGTACGAGATGTCAGTCCTGAGTGTGTCCGGTCTCGGCGATCCTTGGCTTTTTATATGTCGGCCCCATCTCGGAAGATGACCACTTTCACTGCAAGGCTGATACAGCACGCCCTGCGATTTGGGGCTGGGTTCCATTCTGGTCCAGCCGATCCTCGTGAGTGATGTAACCGGAACAGCGACGTTCGAAAGGCGACCGGTTCGTTACACCTGAAGAGCGAACAAGAAGCCTCCCGGTAACGTACCTGAAACGAAATAATTATTCCTTCAACTATCAAAGTATGTCTTTGGTTGAATCACATTTTTTGAATGTATAATGTATGTAAAGATTACGTGAAATGATTCATATATGAGATAGGGACCCGGAAGGTCGGACCGCGAAAGCGAAACGCGAGAGATCTGCTCTTGAACACCCGGTGAAGGGCGAACCGCAGGACGTGCGTTTTTCGTCCGCGTGCGGTTTTTCGCTCGCGGTGAGAGGCGTTACCTAACTCGAAATCCCGGGTCGGACGTTAATATACTCCCTGGTAATATATTTCTCGCCTTGTAATCGAGTATTAAACGGGTTATTGGCCCCGCATTGCGGAATCGCTGCGTCCCCTGCGGAAAATCGGAAGCCACGTCGCGAGCCTCCGCTTTCGGCCGCCGCGGTCGGGAAGAATCGCGGGATTTATCGCAGGCGGAAAGTCCTGTTCGTAAATTGTGCGGACCCGTTTCTCCGCAGCGGTTCCGCGCGCGGCGGTGGGTCCCCTCGCGTGCGGGTGCCCGCCAGGGATTTCGAGCGATTGCGGGTCTTCTTGCCGCTTTTTTTTCCCTGCTTTTACATTTTATATATGGCCGTGAACGAGTAGGGGGCAGCTCGCTCTCCAAACTATGAAGGAATAACGATTGCTCTCGTTACTCTGAATTATTCACCGCGGGTTGAATTTTTTTATCTAGCAAATTTTTATTAACTCCGTCGTACGGAACATCCCAGAATTCTGACTAATTTATAAACGACGCTCTATGCCGTGCGACCGAACGAGTAGCCATTTAAATTTCCCCGTTTCCATAATTTAACCCGCCGAAGCGCGAAAATGATATTAATAAAACCCCATACTCTAATCGTGGGAGTTTGAGTCGGAGTGAAAGGAGATCGAGATACGAATCCGATGATTATACCGTGTAGAGCACTTTGTACAAGCGATTGTTTTACAAGAGAGCAAAAAGCCCTCTCCATTTAATTTAGCTCCAAGTCAGCTTCGCGGAATTCATTTTATTAAACCGTGAAGAGGGTGGTTTTAATTATAAGGCGAAATATCGAATGAGGTGTTAATTTCGGGGGTTAGGTCAGGTGGAGGACGTCGCGTTTCGAGAGGGTCGATACCCTGTACCAGGGATTTAAATCAATACTCGAGGGGGGTCTTGCCCTCCTCTGGATCATCGAAATCCGCGTCGCGTGGCTCGTTAATAATACCAGTTTCGCGTGCATTGGAGCACGAGGTGGTTTCGATCTCTCGAATCGTCGATAGTCTCGCCCACGGCGTGGCAGGCTGCTCGAAAAAAGCTCCCTTTGTCTCCGGCCAACCCCACGGCCCTTGAAACCCCGCCGAGAAATCCACCCCGGTTTTTCTCACCCCGAGACGGCTAATAACGTCGGCCTAACTTTTCCACTTTTTTCCTACGCAACATTTATCTCTCGATATTTAGACCCTGATAAGGTTGATATTTAGTCTAAGTGTCATCCTGTAACCCTTTGGTTGCGAAAGGTGTAGGTACACGTGCGACGTTTGGTCCAGTATTGCCTGCACGGGCGGAGGAATCTCGCCCTTAGCGGTAATGGGGTGAAAAATGATGAGAGGAATTTTTTTTTCCGGCGGAAACGCAAGGTTTCAGACTCTCGTTTCCAAGGTTCTTGGGTGAATCACGTCGGGTGGTTTATTTAATTTTTACGAGCGCAAGAGCTTGCGTGCTCGACGGCAAAAGTGGGGTTTCGTGAAAGCCGACCGAGTGAAAGGTGAGACCCAAGGAACCGCAAGCGTCGGGCATGAATCGCTTTACTTTCGCCGAGGAGGACCCGCCATTACTTTTTGGAGACAGGTGAGAATGCCGACTGCAGACCAGGGAGGGAGTGGCTGTAATTTCGACACGGTATCGCGAGAAAAAAAAAAAATCGCCCGGTGTCATCGTCTCGTTAAATTAACAGCAATTGCGTGTATATAGATATAATACAAAACCCGTGCAATTAGAAGTTTGACGTTTTCAGGAGGAACGAGATCTGAAGCGCAGCTAAATATCATCCGAAGGGGACAAAACGTGTATTATCTTCAGCTGGAACACCGGAAGCGCTTTTCGAATAACGCGGCCGATAATTGACACGTTTGCGCCGCAATCTCCTCGTATTGATCGGAAATCGATTCTTTTGTCCCGTCGGTTGACGTCACCGGACAAATTTATCGATGTACCGCGGTCAAATTCTGGTTTTGCCGACATCCCACGAGGTCGATGTTACACTTTCGCCAGCGAAAACCGCATGTTACGTTGCGAACATTTTTTACGCCCTCCCCGGAAAACATGTTTTCGATGTTCCCCCCTCTTTATCACAATTTACAGTCGGATTTATCACCCGGAGGATAATTCACTCAAGACGGGAGAAAAATTTTAAATCACTTTCCGAATGGAAAACCCGCGACGGAAAATTATCAGCATTCACGAGCGAGCGAGCAAAAGTGGGATAAATCGGCGAAAGGCTTAATCGATCGTTAATTAAAATTCCAGTCTATAATTATTCCCCTTGGAATATCAGGGAATCGGACAATAAAGGCGACCGGCCGTTAAAAATGAAGATTTGAGCCGATTGGCGTGCTTTAATGGCGGATTGTTAATTTCTTTTCTAGTTAAACCGATAAAATATTCCGACCGAGTTCTTTTCGGCGTTCGGGGCAAATTGCAAGCTCCGGTGTTTCACGTTCGACTCGGTGCAGTATGCAGTCCGCGATATGCACATTCGATGTACCTGAGCTCGAAACGCATATTCGAATCCGCGGCTCGCGATGCAAATGCCAAACTCAAATTGCAGGATCGCAGAGGTGGGTACAAAATGGCGATGCTTTTGTGTTTCCCGTAACTCCGCGTTGTTGGAAACACGTGCTGCTGGGTGGAGGTCTGTTCTCCATTCATCGACTTCCGGAATCGTAGACGCTGGCCTCCGGGACTCCAGGATGCACTTGCGGGTCCAAAAAGTGAAACGGAAACCGCGCAAATCGCGTAATTCGAGTTTTCCGAAAAGGGGATTTGTGCCCATAATTATGAAAGTGGTCTAAGTCATATATTTTTTGTTTCGAAATAACATTGAATTAATTTCGTTTGAAATAATATGGCGTGAAATAACTGATAAACTCATTTTTTTTTTAATTTCGACTTAGACCACTTTCATAATTATGGGCACATATGTGCCCATATGAAAGTGGTCTAAGTCATATATTTTTTCTTTCGAAATTACATTGAATTAATTTCGTTTGAAATAATATGGCGTGAAATAACTGATAAACTCATTTTTTTTTTAATTTCGACAGACCACTTTCATAATTATGGGCACATTTCTGGCACTCCGAGAGAGCCTGAAAATATCCTAAGGACGGTCCCCGACCTTCTGGGGAAATCCCTCGCATTGGTAATAATTAGAGGTGTCCTTTCCTCTTTCTTGGCACATTCGGCAAACCCTTGTTCCTTTACGACCCTTCCAGCCGCCTCTCTTTCTCTCTCGGGCCATAATCCTACTCAAGGATACACGGCGAGGACGTCTTCGGGGTGGGTCCTTGGAAGCATCCCGATTTCCCTCCGCAAATCCGCTCTCGTCCTCGTCGTCGGTCGCGATTTACAGGGAGGAACGTAAATAAAGAGGGACTGTACACTTGGGGAGGGAATCGCAGAGTCGACAAAGTCAATTCCCCGAGTTAGGATAAAAGGTTTCCTTCCTCTTCGGGATCCTCCCCGAGCCGCTCCTCTTAATGCAGGTCGACCTGGCTATTTTTAAGAGGAGTACACATTTTTCGCCCATTCCCGCCACCCCGTTTCATCTTGGGGATTTTTCTTCGTATTTTTCTTCCTGCGTAAAACTTGCTTTCCAAAATGGCCGAGGCGGAGGCGCCGCTCGCGATCCAAACGGAGGGTGCTCCTGTTTTCCTTCCGTTTTTATCGAAACCCATGGCGGCCAAGTTTCGCCAAATTGCCGACGATTCGAGAACTGCTCCATAACCGAAATGAATTCCTACGAGCTAGAGGGAGGGTCTGTAAAGTGCGACAAACTCGCATCGGCTGGTAATCGCGTTAAAAGGCCGCGGGGCGGATTCCGCGTCTCGCTTTCGTAATTTCGGAACTTCCAGGCGGTTTTGAGACTCGACAGAGCGGAATTCTTTAGAAATTCCCGTATCTGGAAAACACCATTATCGCGTTTTCCCAAGTTTCTATTTTTTTTCAATTTTTTTCTCAGCACTTCAGAGGGCACGAGAGAATTTTTCGGAAATTTAGAGAGATCCGCAAAGTCGGAGGGAATTATTCTCCGGTGACGGTAAAGTCGTTTGCGAGCTTAATCGAATCCCAGCTGGGTTTAAAGGAGTAAAAGCGATCGAAAATCACGGAAAGGCGATGACGAGAGCTCCGGTTCTCGAGCACAATGGCGAATGCCACTCGTTATGGCACGTAGGGCGACGGTTTCATTGTCTAGACTCTAGGTACTGTAGACTGATGCCTCAGCTTAATTGGAGTGTTACATACTCGTCTCCCTCGCTTCTCTCTCTCTCTCACTTCCTTCCAGCATCCTCCTCTCGGTCCATCCCCCTTCTCGGTGTCGGCACGACTCGTGCCGAAAGTCCTCTCGGGAGCTCTCTCGATGAATTAATCTTTCCCGTTCCCTTGGCATCCTCTCTTATCGATTACATATCCTGCCGCGAAGGACTGGGAATTATCAGACATCGGTAAATCGATTTAGATCGATCGGAGGCTGGGAGGGCCCGAAAAGCCATGAAATGAT